TCATTACTTTCTGTTTACCGTGTGTTACACATCTCATGTTTTTACAGAGCCCACATGTGTCCCCATGTAATGCTGAAAAACTCTCTTTCACTAAAGAATAGTTAATTGTTAATGTGTAAATATTGTTCTCGTGGGGAGAATGAACAATCATAAGATTCAGCTCAACACTAATGAGAAATCCAGTGCGGTCAGTGGATTATTAACTAAATCTCTCCTGGAAAATTGTCCTTTACTACGTGCCACCATTTGTTTGCTACTGCTCTTCTAGACTCGAATAAATTGTCTGACTTTTAAATTAACTGTAGTATTTCCCCTGTAATTATTTTCATAGCTTTGTTACCCTTTCTTCTCAGAAGCTGCTTTGTAGAGAATACCTGTCAACAGAGCAGTGTAACTGTAGTATAACTACTCATTACATGATGCAGCTGAAGCTTTCTTAAAAGTAAAAAATTCATGTAGATAATTATCACTGTATTAGATATAATAATATATGTACGTATTCAAAGCAGTCTTTGTATCTTCAGCAACTTTAAACTAGCTGCTGCAGTTACAAATATGAGAACTGAATGCTCTAAGCAAATATCACAGATTATCATCTTAGTAATGTGTGACATTGAAGCAGAAGGTAGTAAGGAAAACAACTCACTAATTAACCTTCAGCAGCCAGATTGTATTTGTGCTGCTCAGGCATGGAGGGCCCATGGGAGAGCCTGGACTTCGTCCTTCAGAGTGCACTGTGATCCTTTGGGTGGGAATGTGATCAGTGCAGAGCACATCGCTTCTGTGCATCTTACCCAGTCCAAACCAGCGTGGCAGGCTCTGGGCTCTGGGACACGGTCTTGCTTCTGAGCTGCCTCAAACTCAGAAAAGCAATTTTCTTCTTAGCACCATGGTTTGTAGCAAAGCTACTAGCTTCCAAGAGGCTTTTCAAGGGATATCTCGACTATATTTATTATAATACGTGTTTCCATTTTCTTAAAACTCTTTTCCCATATAGAAGTTTGCCAATTAAAATCATGCTCTATGTTGTATTAGGTGACAGTGCATTGAACCAAACAGGATTTGCAGCTATGTAAGGAAGAGCAAGCGCAGAGCATAATAGAAGGAAAAAAACTCCTGCTACATTTCTACTTGTTTCATTTGGAGTTGATTCAAATATCAGCATTTTAAAATGGTTTTGAAAACAGAAAGTCCATAGTTAATGTCAAAACATTGTCTCTCCCTTTGTCTGTGAACCAGGAAAAATAACAGAACTTTCTTAACACCTGTTTTGCCTAAACACTAAGTGGTTGTTACTGTAAGGCAAGGGTTGTTGTAATTTATTTGCTGCATCTATTAAAATGGGCAACATCTTTTTTTTCTATACAGACATGGATTTATGCACACAAGGCAGTTTAACAAATATGGAGTCTCCTGTTATTGGTAACCGCTAATATAACTATATTATAGTTATATATAAAACTTAATGTAACTGTATTTATAACTCAGGGTACTCAGATTCTATAAGATGTCTTTGTAAATGTTAGCATAAAAAAGAGAAAGATGTTAGAATCTCAAGCAAATATTGTCTTTTAGTAATTTTTCTTTGCTATTCTGATGTAATGAGCTCCCTCTTTAATTTCTGAACAAGTTAATTTCTTGCTATTACCAAGCAAGTGCCAGCTTTTTTACAAACCCCCTTATGTTATTTCCAACCGTATAAAAATACCTGGATATTCCTTTTGAGCATATGTCATCATAAAGGTAATCCTTCCAATGGCATACAGAAGGCTGGTGTAAGTTGTATTTTGCTCAGTTAACATGGCAGCACGTTGTGGTGCTATTGTGTGTCGGGGTGGAGTCTGACAGTGGAGGGCTGGCAGCATTTTTTAAACACTGTCCAAAGCAAGTACTTCATATTTATTAGTCTCTTGGAGGAGTATTTTAAAAGTCATGAAACTATTTGTTCCTAGAAGTAAATTATTGCACGTACTGAAAAGTGTGTTGGTGTTCATGAGCAATAATCCAAACAGAACAAGTTAACTTCTACATATCACAACAATCGTTTATGAAGATATATTACTTCTGTGTGGTGCCATCTCAAGTTCACTTCAAATGGAGACTTTGATTTAATCTGTTTAAACTGAAGTTAGAGTTCTACAAAAGAAGTTTGTGAGAGATACATGAAATGACTGACTAAAAATAGTATGTGGGAAGGGGGGAAAAAACAGAGAATTATTTTGCATCTTTACATTTCTGAGATGATTGCTTTAGGAAAGCAACTTCACTAAGCATATACTTTGAATTATGGCATTCAGAAATCTTAAAATGAGGTCCCTTCTAGTGCATACTGCTATTTCTTCACTCCCTTCCTTTAGGATGTGAGATTATTTTTTTCCTGATGTCATCTTTTTAGGATTTCCATAGTAATGGTACCCCATTGAAGCTTCCCGCAGGCCCAGAGATCTCTTTATTTACTGCTGCTTTTTAGGGTTTGTACATACTTGTTCTTCATTTGTTTTCTGTAAGCTTCCTCAAGACATCACTTTGTGCAAGTTTCTCTGAATGCTCGCTGCATTTATTTATTTTTTTATTAAGAGCACGGTGATTTTCATATTAAGAGTCACTTCATCCTCAAAAGGGCATGTAGATATAACTGCTAGGAAGGACGAGGATGTGATTCTTGCCTATACAAGAGCAATTTGAGTCACAGCAAGAAAAAGAAAAATCCCTTATTGAGTCCCTGAACTTTTCCTGGTATTTGTAGGACACAATCCATGGATGTGTCTTGTAATATTTCTTTTATTTAAAATTTACCAACACTTCCTTGTTCTTAATTGTGTTTTAATTTCTCATTGTTTACATAGAGTTTGAGAAAGGCACTGCTGATTTTGAACCAACAGTATTATGTGGTGAATGCTCAGTTCTGTTTCTAAGCCACTGGATAGTGTGTTTTCTTTGTACTTTGTGGAGCTCAGAGGACAACAGAAAAAGACTGCAAAGCATAATCCTTCCAAGTGTAATCCCAGTGAAAGAAAACATAAATAAAACCACTTGTATTCTGGCATTCCTTTTTCCCTTTTGTTATTTCTGCAACTTGGCACATATTCCAATAAAACTATAGAACATTTCTCTATGTTGCAGAATTGTACAATAGTTACCAAAAATTTCTCCTCTTTAAAATCAAAGTTCCATGCAGAGTATATAAAAAAAAAAAATTCCAAATGTTGTAGTGCCTCTTAAAATAACTAGACTGACCATAGCAGGGTGAGGTTAAGTCCTTCCGATAGAAATACCTCTTTGTCTTGGTTTAAGACTGTACATGAAGCTGCTTCATTCCACAGTTTACAGAATCAAGTCTGAACCAATACCAAAAGGAGAGGCGGCAGGGTGTGTTGATGTTAGTTTTCTTGATTAGCACTGAAGTTCAGTGTCAAAAAAACGCTTCTAAAACAGTTTCTGTCGTATAAACCTGTTACATGTGAGACCAGACCAAGGGGTTCAGAAGCCAGCATAAATAACCCAGAGCTAAAACCCCTTTCCTAATTGGTGACAACAGTCTCATTGATTGGCATGGGACAACTCGAGCCCTTGATTGTTCTTATAAACTCCAAACTGCTCAAGGGAGAGATTCTTCTTGTTTGTGGTTCCTACTTGGGTTGAATACAATTCAGTGCCATTATTGCTACGGGGACTGTTGGACCACCTTCCTAGTGGATGCTGGATTGAAAAAAAAAAAAATCCAATACATTTCCTTCCATTGTATAAAATTTTTCTTGGTATTATGAAGTCAGAACTCCTAGGATGCAGGCAGACTTCTTTCCGGATTCTAAAAGAGATTCATAGGAGAAGTTTGACTGCATATATTCAAAACAGTGAGTTGTATTTTTGTGGGACTTTTCTACGAGCAAAAGTATGAAAATATAGAATGGAACTGTACCTTGAAACACCTGTATGTAAGCCTTAGTTGTTTTTTAATCTTTTGCCTTTGGTAAATATCTAGTTTCATTAGAAAAACAAGCTGTGGACATTTTAAAGTATAGTGTCATTCAGTATTCACAGGGTGTTGAGTCCAAGTTAAGAGTGCCAGAAGAGAAAAATGTTGACCCAACCTGAGATGTAGTACTTTTCATGTAAATGCACAGAAGAAATACGGAGATATTAAGTATGTTTTGTTTTACTAAACAGCAATTTGCTGTAAGTTAAATTCGCAAGAGATGTGACATTTCTAGATAGCGTTTCTTTCCTAAAAATGTTTGTCTTTAATGAGAGTATATAAGTTCTGTCATAAATCTAACCTGCCATTATCATTTTTATGTTTTATAAAGCTATGTAAAGTGTAAATGGTTATGATGTGAAAAGTTTAGATTAGACTGTTTTTTAGGTAAACACATGTTATATATTTTGAGTTAAAGTAATTGTTTTGAATTATTTGAATTCAAACATTACCCTTACTCTCCTGCTAAGCACTCCAAAGCCTAGCAAGGCAATATTTTACAATGACTAACCTGAACAAAAGCAGAGAGAATAGTTCAAAATAGCTATTTCCTATCAGTTTAAAATATAATCAAGTGAAGCAGCTGTGCTTGTTCTTAATAGACTCTTTTGAAAAAAAAATTCATAGTTTAATGAAAAATGTCTCTTCTCATAAACCTTAAAATACTCACACATGTAAAAAGTCATAATGTTTTGGCCAATAGTTCTTTGTAAGGAATGTGCATGAGACATACCTGCTCCATAACTGCAACACTGTATAAAGCATGCTCAATAGTGTCAAAAGAGCAAGCTAAAAAAAAAAAGTAAATCACAAGTTGTGGCCCAACTGTGATGCTCTTGCTTGGTGAAGAGAGCAATTGTCCACACACCTATTCCCATGAAAGTCAGTGGGACTACTTGTGTAAGTAATTGCTTGCAGGCAGAGATTCCCAGGCTCATGGTAAAGTGAAATCAGGAAATAAGCACATAAATGTCTGGAGAATAACAATGAGCAGGATTAATTGTCTCTCTCTCTCTCTTTTTAGGAATCCACGGATCATCTTTTGTCCTTGACATAAAAGACTTCCTACTTAAAACAAGTCTCAAAGAAAGAGCCAGATCTCTGATGGGCCCTTTTTGCTGCTCTGTTAATGTGGAAGCCAAGTGGTGTAAGCACAGTGGTGATCCTGGCCCAGAGCAATCTATTCCAAAAATATACATCGATTTGAGAGGAGGACTGCTGCAGGTCTGTATAAGATCCTTATGGTTCTGCTATTGAGCTGGACTGGCTTTAGATGATTGAAATTTCCTAAATAAATTGCATGAAAGCCTCTAAAGCTTTGCAGCCTACAACAGTTCATTGAGTTGGGGGTTTTCACTTGTTTGTTTCGGTTGGTTTTTGTTTTACCTTTTAAAAGAAGTATCTAGTCTTTCATGTAAAACTGTTGATTGAAAAATTGTGTACAGTGTTTTGTTTTTTTTAATGCTGCTTAAGCCATGTATCGTAGCTGTATGTGTGTGTTCCCTTAAAACTACTGGATCAAATTACTAACACTTAATATCTAGGACCCTGTTCTGATGTGTGCGTGTTTGTCCAAGAGCTATGTGTCTGTAATGCCTAGGGGTAGCTTTAAGAAATACATATCCTTTCTTTTTAAACTTACACCAATTTCTCAGGGGAGTAATTATAAGCTGTTGTTTGTAGCAATTAATATTCAGTTTTCCATGCTATCCTCTCCTTTTTGGAAGTGCCCACAACTTGAAACCAGTCCAAGAAGCATGGGAGTTCTTGCAATGAAAAATAGATTCTGTGAGGCTTAAACAAGTGGGCTTTAAGATATGTCTTGTTTTAATTATTTTTATTGTAGTATCTATACACACCAAATGTTTTAAAATAAATATATAAATCAAGCATATAAAACACAAAAAGGCAATTTTGACATTTAGTCGTGTCATTAGGTCTTTTCCCAGAATCGGCATTAGAAGTTCTTAAAACCACAGCACTGGGGATAGGACTAATTGAATAATACGAATTTTAAAAAAAATTATCGTAATGAATAAATAAAGTCAGTTTGCTTCTCTGCTTCTTTTTTATTTGCTATTCACAGGTATTTGGCTGACTACCTCTACATGTTGTTAATAATAAAAAGGGGAGGGAGGGAAGTCCCCAAAATTTGGGGGTTTTTACAAGGACCAGAAAAATGTCTATAAATCTGAGAAAGCCATTTATTATTAGAGTATACACTGGGATAACTAGCTTTTGCAGAAAACAATTAAGTATTTGGTCTGGCAGAATAGATTTGAGAATGCTGACAAAAGCATTAGCAATTCTGTTTCAAATTAATTTATTTATGGCTAATGATTTTACCAGGTCTAAATGTGACCTCATCTTATACCACTGTTAGGGAGTTTTTGTGAAATTGGTGCCTCATCTGTGAATATTGTAGCAGGAGTTCCGTGCTCTGGAGTTCCAGCTGCCTAAAAATAAAAGTGGGGGAAAAAAGCATTCCTCCCTCCTCCATCACTGGGGGACTGAGGCCTCTGGGATTGGCTTAGGTGGCACAGAGCTCCTTTGAGGTGGTGCTAGACCAAGTGTGTGACCGTGAGGCCAAAGGTACTCTAGAAACTGCAGTAGAGATGCTTAGGGACATGACCTGGGCGGCCTGGGACTATTTAGCTCAGGACTAGAGCTGTGTTTCAAAAGGGTCTTGGTTTATTCCATGGGCTTACATGTAGATGCAGGGGAAGGAAAAGCTTCCTTCTTGACAGCTGCGCTACACTCCCCTTAGGCATCTTCTGAGGGTTTTTTTCATATTTCAAAATTAGTATTCCCCAGTGAAAAAAAATTTGCACTGCTCTTTATGTGCATACCTGACTTGTTTACTGGACTCCTACCCTTACCATGGAGTTTTAAGTTATTGTCCAGTGATTTTGATTTCATCCCACACTGGTTCTAAGTCTTATTTCTTTATTAATTGCTAGTTGCTTCCTTGTATTCGCTGTTGCTTCTGGGCCCACTTCTACACCTGAAGACTAAAGGACTTGTCCCCATTAACGTGATTTTCTCAAACAGGAGTTTGATTTGAGAAAAGCAGTGCTGCTTGTCAAAGCTGGGAGGGAGGAACTTGCCTTTTATTTTGCTATCTGGACTTTGAATGCCAGTTTTTCTTAGATTTTTTCTGAATTTCTGTTTTAAACTTCAAAAAGCTTTAAACTTTTAAACCTCACTCTGAGAACTTACAGCACATCCACTTCATATGCTGTATATACCCAATATTTGTGCTTGAGTTCATCTTTTGTATGTTTTTCTAGTCATCATCTGTGTCACTTAGTTTTTAATGCATTCCAGAACTCCACTTTTGGAGCTACATGCTCTTTGAACAGTTTAAACTTTGCACGTTTAAGGTTTTTTTCTGTCATATAAACTGCAAAACTTGTGACTAGTCCTAGCATTATGTACTGCACTCAGCTGTAAGTTCTTGCGTATCACTTTTCAGTTCTGTGCTCTTCCAGGCAGCATCAGTATCAATTCTAAGCAGTAAGAATTAATGCTTTCCTTCGAACGATGAAAAGAACAAATTTGCCCAATGGTTTTGTAGAGATATTTTGTTGTTCCTGTTCTTTATTTTCACATTAAGGATACTTGCAAGCACTTAAGGTATAAGTAGAGCAGGCTGAAAGCTGTGTAAAGTTTCTTTTGTTTTGGGGATTTTTTCCTTCAAAAATGACTAAGTATTTGTATGTAATTATTTTGTCTTTTCTCTTTCTTCTTCATTTCTTCTTTTTTTTTTTTTTTTTTTTAAAGGTTTTCTGGGGTCAAGAGCATTTGAACTGTTTAGTTCTTCTCCAGGAGCTTCTGTGGCAGTACCTCACTAAAAAGGGCAGTGTAGAGACCTTGATATCTGAACGTGCACACCCCACTTGTTTTTCTACAGAAAGGAATCAGGCCTCAAAAACTGAGCATACTTCAGATGATCTGAGAACAGGCCTGTTCCAGTATATACAGGATGCAGGTAAGAAGAATATTACTGCTCTCTTCTTTGGTTTTTTAATTATAAAGTAAATACAGTAGTAACCTCGTAAAGATTACTTGCCTCTTACAATGAATACTTTACTTTTTTTTTGGAAAAGCAATTGAAAAGACATCTGCTAGAATAAAAAAAAAAAAACTTTTTTGATTTCTTTCCATTAAGCTGTAATCTTTTAAAAGTCAGTGAAATTGCTTTTTTATTTTCTCTCCTTTTGATCCTCAGGGGTTTATTTTTAACTACTTTGGTCTCATAAACCAGCATGTTTCTTTCTAGAAATTATATAACAGGTTATAGTTTTCTTTCATTTGACAGAAGCACAAAAACTGCCCAGTGCCTATGAAGTTGTCTTTTACAATGAAACTGAGGATAGTCCAGGAATGATGTTGTGGAGATATCCGGAACCCAGAGTGCTCACTCTTGTAAGAATTAACCCTGTTCCTTTTAATACTACTGAAGACCCAGATATTAGCACTGCTGACCTTGGAGATGTTCTTCAGGTGGGTAATGAGAGTTTTCTACTTTGATTAACAAAAGAAAACGTTACTGCTGTAAAGTGAATGTTTACAAACTTAGGTTTATTAAAAATGAGCGCAAAACAAATGTCAGGAGCTCTATAAAATCAATAGGAGGCAAGTTCCACAGCTTGAACACATCTTTAGTTTTAAAACTACTTGTGCAAACACTTTAACCACTTACCTGTAAAGTTTTTCCATGACATAATAAGCTATAGCCAATTTTATCAGTTCTGGTTTGCAAGCAGAATTCTGTCTTGCTATGATTTCATCCATCAGTCTTTAAGTAAAGACTTCATTTGATTTGAAACTGAGACATGAGGAAACACCTGGTCTGAAATTACCAAGATTCGGTGGGATCATTGAACTAAAATCTCCAACCTGGCCATCCTCTCCTGTGTCTGTGATGGCAGATGGCTGTACTTCTTCTAGTAAGATCCACAGGGTAGAGAGAAAGGATCTATTTTCTATCATTTTGCTTTGAGAGAGTTGAAGTGGGCAGTCCAGTTTGACTGTGTGAGATCATGGAACTGTCCTTCAAAGGAGGGCTGAGTGCTGCAGCTGTGTGACTCTGTGCCCCAAAAATAGACCATACCTCACGATTACACTGATCCCTAACTCTATACATTTGAGAATTTTTGCTTTCTCAAATACACAATCAGGTAGTTACATTCTCTTCTGTCTAGTGTAATTCATCTTTATGAATTCACTTACTCCTTGCATATCTATTTTGATTTTTGCTCGGTTTTAATTTTGTTAATATCCGTTTCTTTTTTGTATTACAAATTGGATCTGTCATTATATTTTTTAATCTGAATCTGCTTGTTAATCAGAATGATGTTGTGAGTCAAGGGAAATAAATATCTCCCAATTCTTCCTATTTGTTCAGAAATGTTGAATTATATATCATTATTGCTGTAACTTAAAAATTGTTTTTAAAATTGAATTATGCGCCAATATGCTTTGAGTTATGGATAAGTAGGGTAATCTTCCTCAGATAAATGGTATAATGTTATTACCGTGCACATACTGTTAGTGAGATCATGTAAGTGTCCTGCCAATTTCTTTGCCCTCTAGACAGCCAAATGTCAGCTCCTTTCAGTTATATGAAAATTAAAATTAAATGGAAAAAAATCAGCTCCCCTTGGCATGAGGTTTGAATCAAAGATCAAAATTGTGTTATTGTATGCTGTCTTGGTGACCCTATTAGGTTGCTATGAAAGCCTGCAATTTGTCTTCTTTCAGGATGGTATTTTCAGAGCACAGCACACCAAGTTTTTGGTATAATGACATTAAGTTCCCATTATAGATAACAGACATCATGAACATAATGTATGTGCTTTTGCAATAATATGACCCTTTACAGGGGGAATATCGGTGGTTCTTCAAGTGGGCATACACAGCTGGACTTCTAGTAGCACACACATTCTGCTGCTTTGTGCTTCCATACTGCGGTCTAGAGAAAAGAAGGTGGTTGCGATCCTCCTTCATGTCCCCTTCCTCGGACAGCAAGATAGGAACTGGGAAGCACTCAGCTGCCAGTGTTCAGGTTCTGTCAGCTTCTACTGGTCTTCCTGTAATTCTTCAGATTTGCGTTTGATTTTATACATTGACTGCAGAGAACTGTTTCCATCCGTCTCATTTTAAGTTTGTGGTGAAGTGTCCCTGTATAGTTTCCTTCCATGATGCTTTTTACTGTGGCACACTCTCTTCTTAAGGTCTGTCACTTTTATGATTAATTAATTCTTATTAAGTCTAATATTACTACCTTGGGCTTTCAATTACAAGGGAAGAGATGAAAGATATCAGCCAAATTAGAGGACATCTATTCAAAAACTGTGCTCTTGGGCACATGGAGTGCAGAAGTGGTGACAAGAGGATCCACATTTTGGTAGTGGGCCATTAATTACGGCAGTAACTGTTGTCTGGCTTTAGGTGGTGATTTATCACATTTTCCAGAAATAGCCATGCACCTACACAGAGCAGCTCTGCACAGTGTAGATAAACAGCCATTTTAAACGTGGACAATATGCCTTTTTTTATTAGTCTAACATAGATATGTGGGTAAAATAAGTAATACAGAGTTGATTTTCAAATTCTTTAGGTAAACTACATTTACCAAATACTCATCTCAGACTTTAGGTTCTGATTTAAATTAATCAGGAGACCTTTCATCAGCTCCACTTTTTTCCCCTGTATGGATACATGTCCGTTTCTTAATATACTGCGTATTTAGTGCATATGGAAAATTCACAAAATATAAAGAGAAAAAAGACAAAAAACCACTTCTATTTTATTCACTTCTTGACATGAAACATGAGAGGAACATCTGCAAGCCAAAGACTTCAGCTTTTTTGAAAAAGGATCTAAATTTAAAGACAATAATGATATCAAAGTATATTAAAAATATATTTTAAAAACTTCTCCAGGATTGTGTATATCTTCAAATGCTAAGATGACCCATAATGTCACCAGCTGTGTTACCAGTCTCCCTTAATCCTTTACTTCACATAAACCCAGGCAAAGGTGCACTTCTGTAGTTTGTCTTGAATTAAACGTTTGCCAGTTGCATGTTCTTTCTTTCCAAGTAAGTTGGTGTGACATTTCATCTTAGTTTTCTATCTTTGCTAAACTTCTTTTGGCATACCGTGTTAATCATAGGTAGGTTTTAGAAATCTCTTTGGTTTTAAAGCTATTCCTCAAATTCCTGGAACTTGCAAAAGCTTCACCATAAAGAGAATTTTTCTAGATATTGAAGTTGTGTGTCACCTGCTGCGGCCAAAGGATAAGCGAACAGCTCCAGATTATAAGAGTTGATAGGAACTATATTGTTTCTGTAAAACCTTACCCTGCTGCTATTTCTAGATGTTCCCAAGAGTTTATTTTCTTGTACTTTTACTTGTGTTATTGCAAAGGTAAGTATTTTCACTGGTCAAGTTTCTAATACTTTACTTTTTTATGATCCCAAAATTGTTGCTTTTATTTGTGGAGAGAAAAGGAAGAACTGATGTTTCTGCCATGGTGTAGCATCTTGCATTTTTTTAGCAATTTGAAATATAAGTTAGATCTATTTGTTTGAAGGAAGTGAGAGAGAATCCTAGATGCGCTTGCAAGGAACTGCATCAGGATTGTGTTTCTTTGTGGGGATTGAGAGTATCTGAACTTGATGTTCTTCCTGTTTACTGGGCATTTCAGCCTCTTTCTATTTAATTTTTAATCCCTCATTGTTCCATTTTCACACACTACAAATGTTCTTTGGCTGTGTGTGATTTACTGTTCTTTCAGATAACTAGTCTTTGATGGAACACGTTTAGACTTCTCTGGTATCTCTTCTTAATGTTTTAAGGAATTCCTGTTCAGTGACATAAGGTGTTTCTTATCCTCAGGTACTGCCTGGCATCCCTTCTAGCCCTTTTTGACCTGGATACCTTTTCTTATTTTACTCCTCTTGTGTCTACATCACTGCCAAGATCTTTTCTGAATATACCTTCTCAAAACTGTTTTAAAATTTATATACTCGATTTTAGTACTAGTATTCTTACTAATGAAGAAAGTGCATACATGGGTTTTATTTTTGGAACACAAAATCAATGAAGTGAAGCAAAAATTTGCCACTGTGCTTACATGTATTTTGGGTGCAACCTTGTATAGCTAACTGCAAAAAAAACCCACCCCAAAACTGGCTTCTGTATCAAGAAAGAGATGTGCTATGGATGTAGAATATTCCTGTCTTTTACACTGAACACCTTACTCGTTCCTTGATCAAAACTATTAACTCTTGACTGTTCTATCAGCTTCTGTCTCATTTCTACTAATAGCTGTCTGTTTTCCAAGTTGTGAGATTTTTTTTGATTGGTGTTTAGAAAGCTCTAGACGCAGCTAAGTATCTTCGTAAAGGTCAATCTGGGATGAAGGAATATAAACACAAGAGCAGTAGTTTCATGTTCTTGTAGGAAGAAAAAGTAAATAGGCTGTGTCTTGTCCAAGTAATGTGATAAATATTGCTCTAAGCCACCACTAATGTACCCCTTGTATAAAGGGGATCTACAGAAAAGACCTTCAGGCAGCAACTCAGATGTTGGTAGAGGCATACCCTTTTGATCTTCACTATTGCTAAGATTATTTTTAAAATACATGGAGAAGAAAAAGCATGTTCCACTGATAACTTCCCTTAAGACAGCACACATTTCATAAAAGTGAAGTTAATCCCAGTGCTGACTCCATCTAATGTGATGTAAGCCAGGGTAATCCATTACTGCCCAAATCAGCAAGGGCAAAGGGTAGAATGGTGTTGATGTGAGAATCATATTCACACCTCAGGGGTAGAGGAAAGTCCAAACTTGGAAAAATCTCATAAAATGAATTCAAATGATAATAAGCAAGATGAAGTAGCTATGCCATTACTTTAAAATATTGAAGATTGATATGACTTTCTCAGTTACGACAGATGAAACTTTTAAATCATTGAAGCAGATTGCTGATAAGAGAAAGTCTTGTAGTTGAAGATACGTGGATGAGCAACTTTAAAAGCCTATTTTATTATGTACTTAAAGAAAATATGTACAAAAAACCAGAGGGACAAAGCCTACTGTTCTTGTTAATGTTAACAGTTAATGTTACATTTAGGGCACTCTCTTGCGCAGATGATTTCTATAGTAAAAATTGTGCAGAAGTTTATAGATTTTTCTCAGCAAGTATTCACATGTGAAGACTTAAGGTTTGCCTCAGTTTCCCAGTTTAACAGTAAACTATGTTCTACAAGGCAACTGGCTCGTTCTTATAGGGCAACAGGTCTTTTATTTGCTCTGTGACGTTATTGTTTTGTAGAAGTTGAAGTTGGAATCTGTTGGTGATGATTCTCATTGTTGTCAATCTGTCCATAATATGTCTTCCACTGAGGACTTTGAAGGACTTCAAGCAGAGTATGTTTCATGACAAGTATAGAAATGTCTCCTGCAGGCATATCAGAGTTGTAGAAGATACGT